AATGTATTTCGGTAAACATTTTGAGGCAATCATCAGTTATTTTCATATATGCGCACGCTACCTCACTATGACTGACAAAGGAGTCAATGGCGGTTTTCTTTTTTAAATTTCTTGAACCAGAAGAGTGGAAAAGATAGTTTGAATTAAAGAAAGAAAGAAAAAGAAAGAAAGAAGATTAAGAAGAAAAGAAAGAAACAATGAGAGAAAACGTATATGAAAACTGGGGAAATAGTTTGCAGCAAAGAAAGAAAGAAAGAAAGAAAGAAAGAAAGAAAGAAAAAGAAAAGAAAGAAAAAACGTATATGAACAGTTGGAAAATAGTCTGAGGTACAGAAAGAAAGAAAGAAAGAAAGAAAGAAAGAAAGAAGGCAGGAAAAGAAAGAAGACGGAGAAGAAAAAAGAAAGTAAACGTATCTGAAGAGTGTGAAAAGATAGCTTAAAGAAAGAAAGAAAGAAAAGGAATGAAGATGAAAAAGAAAGAAAGAAAGAAAGAAAACGAATATGATGAATTGAAGAAGATAGATTGAAGTAAAGCAAAAGAAAGAGGATAAACAGGAAAGAGAGAAAGAAAGAAGGAAAGAAAGAAGAGGACAAGAAATAGAAATAAGTTTGAAAGAAAGGAGAAAAGAAAGACAGGAACAAGTAGAAAAAAGAAGAAAAAGAAAACAAGGAAAAAGAAGAAAGAAAGGAAGTGAACATAAAGTAAGAGTAACAATGAAGCATTACTGTCTCTTCTGTATTGGAAAAGACAACCTTCAATGAAACAAAATGGCGGTCAATATTTTCTTTGCAAGGTTGATGGCGCATGCGTAAGTCAAGAAACATGCTGAAGTAATGGCGAAAAGAAACAAGGGCGATGAAAGATTTGTTTTAAAGATAGAATCAACAGCGTGTACCAACTAATCGCGGGCGCACACACGCGCACACACACGCACACACACACACACAAATATATATATATATATATATATATATATATATGGATTCAATAGTAATGCAATAGCAAGATTCGTCTTGCTCTCAAGCATTTGTTGTTATAGTAAATTGGATCCATTCGATCCATATGAGATGACTCGTTCCTTTATTGTCCCTACGTAACACTTAAATGAAACTAAGTATATTTTTATTTGTCTTTCCATCATAGAAGCTTTTATTTCAGTGTGTGTATTTGCATGGATGCATTGTAGAAAGATAAGTCGTTCTTAAATATACAGAGAGAAATAATGCCACGAGCAACATATTACAAGATTTGCATGTGTATCCCCCACGTATGGAAGGTATATATATATATATATATATATATATATATATATATATATATATATATATATATATAATATGATTTAAAACCATATTTTAAATCAGTTAATTTATAATATTAATGCTCTGTAAATTTACATTCAGCACTATTTTGTAAAAAAAAATATCTATAAGAATACGGATTATATATCTTACTGTTCTTTTTTTTATATATATATATATATATATATATATATATATATATATATGTTAAGGCATGTCTCATTAAATAATTTAGACAAGTTTTGTCTACTTATTTTTAATAGGATCCTCTCATAATTACTGACAGATTTCTTAGTATCCTTCTTAAAGGAAGAAAGAAAATTACCACTTTGACGAATATTCATTTTTTTTTATACCGAGTACTTTCGACATTAGCACAATGTCATCATCAGGATGTTGTTTTCTCTAAGACAAACAAATTGTTGTGTTCGTCATTTTTCTAAGACAAAATTGTTGTGTTCATCTGAAAACTAAATTTTTACTTGTGAAGTGATAAACGCTAAGCTTATGTACTGTACGATTTTTAATTTTTATGATGTAAACGTTTTCATGAAAACATTCTGCCCCAAAAGCGCAATATATATATATATATATATATATATATATATATATATATATATATATATAAATATAAAAGAAAGAACAGTAAGATATATAATCCAATGTTCTAATAGATATTTTTATTTTACAAAATAGTGCTCAATGTAAATTTATAGAGCATTAATATTATAAATTAATTGATTTAAAATATGTTTTTTTCCGCTACACAGGTTCAACCATGTTTCAAAAATGGAAGCTAAAAGCCCCAAATTTAATCTTGCAATTAAATTAAAGACATTAGTTCCATTTTATCCTCAAGCGAATTTAAACATATTTTAAATCAATTAATTTATAATATATATATATATATATATATATATATATATATATATATATATATATATATATATATTTTTTTTTGCATATTTATGTGTATATTTACCACTAATATTATCTATATATATATCTATATCTATATCTATCTATCTATCTATCTATCTATCTACCTATCTATATATATATATATACACACACACACACACACATACACACATATATATATATATATATGGTTAGGTTGATAATATATTACACACATATATATATATATTTATATACACACACTTTATATATATATATATATATATATATATACACACACACACATATATATTTATATATATATATATATTGCGTATGTATGTTTATATTTACCACTAATATCTATCTATCTATCTATCTATCTATCTATCTATCTATCTATATATATATATATATATTTTTAATACACACACACACACATACACACACACACATACACACACATTTTTATATGAACATAAAAGGGACATTTTACAAAATAATAAATTAAATGCGTTGATTGCCTGTCAACGAAATTGACCGCAAATTTGACATAAAAACTACTCTGATCAAAGGAGAAAACAATTAACTCCGACGTAAATGTCTAGAGAGTCCCTCAATCGGAAGGTCATCTACAGTAAATATGCGCCCTGATTCTTACAGCATTTCGTCATTTCTGGTAGTTGTAATATCTCAGTGAGGAATACTGAATTACAAAAGTGATGGAAAGAAAAAGGAAAAGACTATAAATGGATTCAGTTAGATAAAAAAAAAAAACATTTTCAAATTCCCAGGAACCCCTCTGTCGTGCGCATGTGCAGTCGTACCAACACAACAAACTTCGTCCGATGAAGTCCTGAAGAACGAAACGCGTCACAATTAAACTTTTTTCAATTCTCATACAATTTCCCTAATAGTGTTGTTGATATATAAATATATATATCGTTATCTCTCACACACACACACACACACAAATATATATATATATACATATATATATATGTAAAATAAAAAAAACATATAAATATATATAAAAATATATATATAATATAAATTAGGTGGCCTGACGATTGCCTTCAGCATGAAACAGCCTGTCGCCTCTGAGTATTGACTTCAATGTTCACTTTTATATTTATATTTACATAAGCTCTATCTCTGATATTGAGCACTTTATCACATAAATATAACACACCTTAAAACTATATTTCTTCATACATATATATATATATATGTTTACTCGTGTCGGGTTTTTTTCTTTCGGCTTCACACCTGTATCTGTGCAAATTTTTTCGACAGACTTTCATGTTTCTAGCTCTTACTTTTTTTAAAACCGTTTTTTCCTTCGTGATTGATTTGGTTATTGGCAAATCAAAAATTCGAAGGTTTTTCGAAACGAGTATAGTTACCTATATATATATATATATATATATATATATATATATAAAGTTGTAGCCGCTGTCTGTTTTTTATCGAACTCCTCCTAAGGGTTTGGAGATTGATCCCCATAACTATATATATTCTAAAACTACATCACCGGGGGTACTTGGATAAATATATTATATTTTTGTCAAAGAGAGACATGGGGGGGGGGTCGCAAACACATACTGATTTTGTTTTTTTCCTGTGATATATATTAAAATTAAATTTGTAGAAGAGAATGATTCATTTCCAATATATAGAAGGAGAATAACTCCTGGGGTACTTGAATAAGGATATATCAATTTATTCAAAGGGGGTCCATGAGAGCACAAACCACAAACAGGATTTTTTCTCTTTGATTAAAATTAAATGAAATTTGAAGAAGGGAATGACTCATATCCAAAATGTAGAAGAAGAAAGCCAGAAGATGGAGGTCACATCAGCAAGATCCGAATGAAATTATGTAGAAGTCAAAAAATCGCCAATCTGTGGATAGTGCCTTACAATGCATATTTGTTGCGACAATTCAACTGTCATATCACCGTTGAAATCTCCTCGTCAATTCATTTAATCAAGTATTGTATCAAATACATATCAAAGGATCAGATCAGGCTATTTTTTGCACAACGCCACCAATGAAATTTTTCCCTTTGATTTAAATTAAATTTAGATTTGAGGAATGACTCCTATCCAAAATATAGAGGGAGAAAGCCAGAAGATGGAGGTCACTTCGGCAAGACCATTGTGTAATACTGAAAGCTTTCTCCACAAATTATAACAATCTTTTAAAATCAATCCTCATTTTCTAATATAATTATTTATTTAAAATATGATTTCATCTAGTTTTTGAAACATGAGAACTTTATGTAGCGTTGGAATTATTTTAAATAAATAATTATATATATATATATATATATATATTTATTTAAAAATATTTTTAAATAAATAATTATATATATATATATATATATATATATAATTATTTATTTAAAAATATGATTCCAACTAGCGACATAAGAGTTTCATGTTTCAAAAACAAGAGCCGAAAACTTCAATATAATTATTTGAATTAAATTGAGTTAAAGAAAGCTCTGTTCCAACTTCAAGCGAAATTTTTTTTTCCTATTTTCTATATATTTTCCCAAATATATATATATATATATATATATATATATAGATAGATAGATAGATAGATAGATAGATATGCGCCCGGTCGCGCGCGTGTGTCTGTGTGTCTGTGTGTGTGCAACTAGATTTTCATATTCGTTTAAGTATGTACATTGTATCATTTTCACTGTTGATGTTCTTATGAAGTTGTGTTTTTAAGTATATATGTTTCTTTTGTTTTTTTGACTCTCCTTTTTACCATTCTTGTGCATATGTACGTTTGTGTGGCTGGGGGTTCGGGGCTATTTTCATGTAGCCCCGGGCGTCGGGTATCATGCATATTTAAATGTAAAAAACTATCAGGGTGGGCCTGATCGGGTTGGGTTTCATAGTTAGAATTGAAATTCCTTTATACAAATGGACCAATTCGTTTGTCCGGTTGAAGAAGCAGCTTTAAGACATCTAATGAACAAACCTCACCGCTTTCTAGATCTTTCTTCTTCTTTCTTTCTTTCATTCATTCTTTCTTTCTTTTTCTTTCTTTCTTTCTTTCATTCTTTCATTCTTTCTTTTATTTCTTTATTTCTTTCTTTCTTTCTTTCTTTCTTTCACTTACCTTTTTAGAATTTTTTCTTTCCATCATTTATTCTTTCTTTTTCTTTCTTTCATTTATTCTTTCTTTTTCTTTCTTTCATTTATTCTTTCTTTTTTTTTCTTTCTTTCATTCTTTCTTTTTTTTTCATTTTTCATTTTCTTTTTTTTTCTTTTTTTTTCATTCTTTCTTTTTTTTTTCTTTCTTTTCATTCTTTTCTTTCTTTCTTTCATTTATTCTTTTCTTTTTTTATTCATTCTTTCTTTCATTCTTTTTTTTCTTTCTTT